GTCAAGGCCAACCCAGGCTCAAGGCAGTCTAGCCCTCAACGAAAAGCTGTTCCGCAAACCCAATACCAGCAGCCACTCCCATCACCTACGAGGGCATTGCCTCAAACTCCCCTGAAGCTCCCTCCTCCAAGGGATAACGCCGAGACTCCTCGCCCGTTACGACTAAATCCCCCTGCAATAGTGCAGGAGTCTCCAGAATATGACCGGGAACTTCAGAGCCAACTACAGCGTGACATTGGGATGCTCAATCTGGATTATGAACCACAGACTGAGAGGAAAGCCAGTCCACAGATCCAGCAGGTCCAGCCACCACAGTGGTCGTTACCACCTGCTCCTCCGGCCCATCAGCAACGACCAACAACAACCAAGCAGATGAGCCTACCTGAGATACCTGCATACAGGCCAAACCAAGCTGCCACGCAGCAAAGGATACCTTCATTACAGCATACTTCTGTGCCTCAAGTTCACATGCCTCTCCCAGGGGGTGCTCAAGGCCCTCGACCCCTTCCATCAAAGGCTCAGTCACCCAGTCCATCCGAGTTCAACACACCGTCTGCATTCCCTACACCTGCACCAGCTAATCCCAATGGAGAGCTGGATGCTCTTAACGATGTCATATTTCCAGCCCTGGAGGAGGCGCTTAAGCGGCGACAGATCAACCTGCAGCAGATGTATAAGCCAGGACAAAACCCAGCTCAACTGACACCCCAACAACAACGCGCCGAGGCTGCACACGAAAAGTTACGAAAACTGGTTTATAAGTTGGCACATGTCTGCAAGGAGATCGATCATTATGACAAGGCCGAGCCTGTTGGAATGGGCAGAGAAGTTGGCAGCTTTCTCGAGGGGCTTCTGGAAGAGATTCTTGTGAGAGTCGAGCCTTTGGATGAGGATGAGGAAGTGCAAGCTTGATGATATGTGTATGTTGTGATGGGCCATGTGATTGGGAAGCGCTGAAGAGTGTTTTGGAGTTTGGGTTTGACATTGTATATGGCATATTATGAGCATTATGAGCGCGTCTTGCGGGTTGATGATAAAAGGATGGAATAGGTTAGCATGATGAGTATAAAGGGAGGTGGCATGACTGAGAATAGCTGGTATAACATAGATGCCAGTCTGTTGTGATTTTGAGATAGAATCCAGCGAAACTTGTTTGCTGCGTGAGAGGCTATCGAGGTCTATATTGGGTTACGGGAGTATATGAAGCTTTGCGTTCACAATCTTTAAGAACACATGATAACATACGGGAATCATGTATTGATTCCCCCATCGACCTAGTTTGATGCTTCAGGCTGAAGGGTAGCTCTCGTGACGATTTGCTATTCCTTCTGTTGAGGGGTTATCATGACGCAGGGCATCATGACAAACGAACGCTACTCGTCCAAGACTATAATAAAGCCCCAGTATGTAAGTCATTGAGGTTAAAATACAGTTGGCCAAGCTATAGTGAATGCTTTCTATTCTCGATACTAGGTTCGGAGTATTCTACCTATAAGCGTTTCGTAAGTACGAAGTCCGAGTAGCAACCAAAACCTTGCAACCTGATACCTCGCCAAGAATTTGCTTGACCCGCAGAAAAAGCTCCACATGGGGAATAGAGCTCATTATGTCATGGTCATCATGATATGCCAGTAGGGCATTGGGAGAGCTCAGTATAGTGATCAAATAGACCTAGATTCATAGACAGAAACTACCCGGATAAAATGGATATAAATATGACTGGGTCAACTCAATTGAATGTTTTTGTTGATCCCCAATTCTGTTTTCGTGACGTCGTTTGCGTCCAGCCCTTTCAGTCTAAACCAAGAAAAGCAGTAAAATCTAGCGGCCGAGCCGTGCAAAACTCCCCACAAGCTACCCCATGCAGCCTAACGCTCCGGGCATGCTACTCCACTCGGGCCAGTGACAGCTCGGAACAATCGCGTTTTCCGAGCGGCGGCCGAAAGAAAAACAGTGGTAAAAAAATATTCTACAGAGGTTTCGGCCAATGCGACACCACAATTCAGAAGGGAACCTTGCACTGTTACTTGTAGAGCGCCTTGGGCAACGGGAACGGGAACGGAAACAGGCTTGCGCGATTTGCACTTGCACCTACCTTCTTTCTTTAACCTCAACTTGTAAAAAAACAATCTTCTTCCTCTTTTTCTCTCCCCTCTCTTCCTCTCCTCGTGTGCGGTGCCTCGGTTTTATCTCTGTCTTCTCTCTCCCCACGAAAGCTCTCCTCTCTACTTTTTAGATACCCCCCACTTGTCATCATGTTGTCTCGAGGATCTCTTCGATCGGCCCAGGTACGTTTTTGTGGTGTTTTGCTTTTGCTTTTGGTTCTGTGTCATGATGATCTTTTGTGGTGTTTGTGGTACATGAGGAGGAATGTATGCAGGCAATGGGCTTTTGTGGCTGTCTGTGATGATATGCATCATGTCATGATCATCATCGCGACATCACAACAAGCGAGAATTGGAGTTTTGCGTGGTGGGACATGATTGCGGGACAAAGACCACAACGCGCAAATGGCTCAGATTGATTATACACAGACTTCACTACTCAATTGATCTTGTTGCTAACGTTTCTTCTCAGCTGCTGCGCGGCGTCGCCAAGCAACAACCCCAGCTCGCCCGATCCTTCGCCACCGTCCAGTCCGACATCTTCAAGCCCGCCAAGTTCGGCGGCAAGTACACCGTCACCCTCATCCCCGGTGACGGTATCGGTACCGAGGTTGCCGAGTCCGTCAAGACCGTCTTCAAGGCCGACAACGTCCCCGTTGAGTGGGAGCAGATCGAGGTCTCTGGTCTCGAGGGCGCCGGCCGAACTGAGGATGCTTTCCGCGAGTCTGTCGCTTCTCTTAAGCGCAACAAGCTCGGTCTCAAGGGTATCCTTCACACCCCCATCAGCCGATCCGGCCACCAGAGTTTCAACGTCGCCATGCGACAGGAGCTCGATATCTACGCCAGCATCAGCTTGATCAAGAACATCCCCGGCTACGAGACCCGCCACAAGGACGTCGACCTGTGCATCATCCGAGAGAACACCGAGGGTGAGTATTCTGGTCTCGAGCACCAGAGCGTCGACGGTGTCGTCGAGTCCCTCAAGATCATCACCCGCGCCAAGTCCGAGCGTATCGCCAAGTTCGCCTTCTCTTTCGCTCTCGCCAACGGCCGATCCAAGGTTACTTGCATTCACAAGGCCAACATCATGAAGCTTGCCGACGGTCTTTTCCGCAGCACCTTCCACCAGGTCGCCAAGGACTACCCTACCCTCGAGGTCAACGACATGATTGTCGACAACGCCTCCATGCAGGCTGTCTCTCGACCTCAGCAGTTCGATGTTATGGTCATGCCTAACCTTTACGGTGGCATTCTGTCCAACATTGGTGCCGCTCTTGTTGGTGGCCCTGGTATCGTCCCCGGTTGCAACATGGGCCGTGAGGTCGCTGTTTTCGAGCCCGGTTGCCGTCACGTCGGCCTTGACATCAAGGGCAAGGACCAGGCTAACCCTACTGCTATGCTCCTGTCCGGCAGCATGCTGCTGCGACACCTCGGTCTCGATGAGCATGCTAACCGCATCTCCAAGGCCACCTACGCCGTTATCGCTGAGGGGTAAGTTTATCTCTACTCTAATGCCTGTTGAAGCGCAATGCTAACAATCCTACAGCAAGGTCCGCACCCCCGACATGGGCGGCTCCTCCACCACCCACGAGTTCACCAAGGCCATCCTCGACAAGCTCGAGACTGTTTAAATGAAGCATCTTTTGTGATATCCCCCCAAAAACAAACCATGCGAAATCCCAATTTTATTTTTCGTTTGTCTTTCCCGTATATAAAGCGGGAGCTGATTGGACATAACACGCACACACACACATTCTGAAAAAGACAAGACACACCCACCATACCTCGATTATATATACCTGACGACCCGGGACAGCGGATTTTAAGGCGTTCTGAGAGGCAGGGGTTTGGCGGCGACGTCGAAGGGAGAAAGAAGAGAAAAGAAGACAGAGTACAGCAGAGGAAGATGATTGAAATAGCAGAAGGAGATTGTACGTGTAACATGAACTTTCGCAGTCTTGAATATATTGTAAAGTCCAAGTTCCCATTTGCTCCGTGATGTTATGCCGACGCAAGGTTTACGAGGTGCATGATACTATAAGTATTGCTTGGCACACGAGCTCACCCCATTGCAAACGAACTGGCCAGCACGACTGAATTGACACTGGGCAGATACTTGACATGAAGTTGTTTATCATGCTCGGAGCTTGGCGAGTCATTTTGTCGCGGAGACCGAGTTGATAACCTCGGTTGATACTACACCGAAGACATTGGCAGCTTCGCTATAGGTTAGGAATAAATTTATTCGTAAAACCCGCATATAATGTGCATGGCCATGATGATAACTTGAGATACTGAAATAGATTAGTTTTGAATAATGGTAATGATGCTGATTTCCCTAGATAGCACCGAGACTTGCGTGATCAGAATTGACCAATGGCGTTTGAGCATGCGAACTCCAAACTGACCATACACGCGGGCGAGACGTCTGGTTGGATACGAGAGAGTAATCAAGCGTTGATAGCTTTGAACGGTTCACTCTGACTGATTTCATAACCAGCTTTAAGGCCAACCTTTCAGCCCTTCCATTGTTTGCTCGCTAATCATAACATAAGATAGGTCAAGCCCTGACCAGCAATATGAGCTGTAAAGACCGCTAGCAGCGCACGAAGCTGCAGTGACTTGCATCTCTGACGGTGGCTTGAGCCTTGGGATTTAGCAACGATTACATGTCTCCGGGTTCATAGCCCAATTGCGATATCTCGAGTAGATGATACAATCAGGTTGAATGTAAACTAAACGTCTGCTTGTATACCATTGACCACAATAGTAGGCACCGCTCTTCTCTCCAGACGTGGTAGTGAATATCACCATTCGGGAATAGCTGCAAGGCCTTCGTCTTGGGACAGAGTTGAGAAGTATGTGAAGGGCAGTGGAAGTAAAAGAGGAAGGACACGTGAGAACATCAGGCTTCGAATAACACTGTACATCGAGTCCCTAAGTAATGTAAGTGCTCACATCTATTTTTGAATGATGACTAGATACGCCCCCTTTCAAGAAATGCCTTTGGCACATCGACATATCGACTCCTCAAATACTCGCCAATTCCCTTCCCAAGACCATCAATTCGATCTGAAGACGCAATGCCTCCGTTCAAGTTATCCAATACCCGACTGTTTTAAGTTAGTACCTCAGCTTCAACATCGCATGGGAACTTACAAGTGCACAGCGTTGATACCAGGGAACTCAACCCTCTCAACCCTCCTGTCAGGATTCCCCTTGAACCAATCATCCCCAAACAACTGCTTCAACTTCGAAACAGTCAATAGGTTCCTCAACCAAGCATACTCATCATCATTCCTAACAAAGAACCCAACATTCGAATTATCACCCTTATCCCCTGATCTCGCATGTACAACACTTCCCAGCGGCGCCCACTCCGTCGGTCCAAAAGTAAGCATATCAACCGGCCCATGCGTTTCCGTCGACGGCCGTACAATAGGATACTTGGCTGTTTTCTGCGGTGGTTCAATGCGATGTGAAGCACCTGTACTCATCTCAACACGATGATCAATCGCAGAAACAGGCATAAGCGCAGGAAACATCTCCATAAACGGCTTGGGAACCATAGTTCTAAAGTCAAGATTCATATGATATCCCGGGTAACTCTGCATGCGGAGAGCGTAAATTGGTACCTTGAACTTAGGCGCGTCAATGTCTTCTTTTCGGCGAGCTTGGGCAAAGACACGGAGTGATACAGTGCCTGCTTGTTGAGACGTTGGGTTCTCAGCTGGAGTGCCGTAGAGCTCGATACTCAAACGGCTGAAGTTTGAGTCTTTGAACATGTGGGCTAGTTGAGCTTTCAGCATGGCTGCTTTTTCGAAGACGTCGAGACCGTTGATGTAGAAGGTTGCCTCAGCTTGGAAGCCGCCTTTGGCAGCGATCATGACTTTTGCTGTTGGCGGGGGAGGGAGGCCTTTTATTCCTGAGACGGAAACGCGGTTTTCTGACTCTTGTTCGACTCGTACTCCAGAGAGATCTGCGACGACATCGGGATTCAGATATAGATGACCTTGAAGTTCATAGAGTAACTGTGCGGTAACTGTCTCTTTTGTGACCCTTCCTCCACCTTCTGCTGTTCTTCCAATGGTACATCGTCCTCTTGGATCAATCTCTGCAATAGGGAATGCAATATCCACAAGTTCAGGTAGAAAGTCCTTGAAACCTGAGAAGTTCGCGCCAACGACATAAGGGCCGCACTCAATGAGATGAGCAGCCAGAAGCGAACCAGCCAACTCCTCATACTGATCCTCTCGCCAGCCGTGATACCATGCCGCAGCACCCATAACAGGAGAAGCATCAGTACATCGACCGCAGATAACGATACGCGCACCCGAGCGAAGAGCTTGAATAATACCCCAACATCCAATATAAGCAGTCGCACAGCACGGCGTAAAACCCCAAGAATCAAGAGTCTGCTCCGGATGATCCAAATGCGTAATCTGCACATCCCTCCTCCTCTCCCTATCCATAACAACATCCGAAACATCATCCCCCAGCACCTTTGCAACAACACAATCCCCATATCCCCTCTTCTCACAGAGCGCTCTGACCTTATCATACAATGCATCAGTGTTCAACGCCCCCGCGTTAGTTACAACACGTATGTCGCGCTGCATGATATCATCAAGACACTCGTCAAGTTGTTCATAAAAGCCATTTTCGTAGCCTAGGTTGGGATCAACTTCTTGCTTGGTGATTGCGTTCCAGGCAATGTTCATCTCGGAGAGCCAGTCTCCTGTGATGACGTTCACGTTGCCGGAGCGGACCATGCGGGACATGGCGTGGGGATGGTCGCCTGTTGCGCCGGAGACGTTGCCGATGCGGATTGGTGGTCTGTCTAACATTTTGATGTGGTGCGAAGTGATATCCAATCTCGGAATATGTGTATATGGAGTGTTGGTGAAGATGAGTTGACGTGAAAGTTATAGTGAGCTGAGAGAGTGATGGAATGAGGTTAAGGTGCGGCTCTTGACAAGCACTTCCTTTAACTTGTGGACCTTCGGAATAAAGATATTCTTATTCGTGTAATACCTCGGATTCTTCAGGATGTCGAGTCTCTCATGACTTATCATAACACTGCATTGGTGGATTGTGGATTAGCGGACGCGGCGCCGAGTGGCGATCCACTTACACGGACCCTGGTATTTCGGCTTCGGCGACCGAGTCCGTTAATTCGCTTGCTCAACAAGAGATAGAACATGATGTGAGATACTTCCGGAACAATGGGCTAGAGTTTGCTCTTTTTATTATTTTGGGGGAACTTGGGTAGGGAATGCTCATATGCTTATCTTGTTCATGGGCTTCGGTTCCCCTTGTTGCAATCTGTTCGGGTTAGAGGTGACGGCAGAGCGAGAACAACTCACTCCTTGATGAAATCAAGTAGATTACCTTCCGAGTCGAATTCAGAATATATATATATTAAGTTTGCAAGTTAGCCTTGAAAGGTATATCCAAGCATCTCCAGAGTCTAATATAGTCTAAACATTTATTGCCCCTATAGCCGGCAAAGCTTCGTTGTCAGAATATATATACCAAATATTCATTACCATGGAGTCAATTTTTACGAAAACAGGTATCTTGATAAAGTACACAAACGTAACTCAATAATACGGATGACTCTCACCTCCCAGCCCAAAAAACCACTCCTGACTCAACTGCGAAATAGCGTCATTATGGAACTCATCCAACCCCAAACTTTGCAAGTCCCCAAAACAATCCCTAAACGTACTATCAACCGTCATACCAGCCAAATCCGCCGAAAACTGCACCGGCGCCGCAACACTCGCCTCCACGACATCAGCTACCACCGCATCACTCAGTCTATCAAACAAATCCGAACAATTCCTCGCAAGATCCCAACGTTCCGAAACAGCTACTAGCACCTTTGAACATGCGCGCGTGTCGTTTACGACTTGATTGATTGTAGGTGTTGTATGTAACCTCGCGCGTTGAGGTTCGGAACCAGAGAAATGATGCCGTAGAGCAAAGATGTATGATAACCCTGCTAAGAAAACAGAATGCATCGTAATCCACGAATAATTCAACTTTCGCGATCGATGCAAACTCGCATATAAACTTATAGCCTCCCTCGCAGAGTCATAAACATTCTGCAGTGCAAGACTATTCACAGCCGCATCGTTCAAACACGGCGACGGTCGAAACAGCATAAGCATACCATTATGGTATAAAAGCCTATACCACTCCTCAGAGCGAAAACTCGAACCACTAGCCGGCGAAGCAGCCGTGTCGCTCTTAACTAGGGGTAGGTTTGCTGTTTCTGCATGCCACTCTTGTAACTCCCTCGCCAGAGCTGTTCGCATTTCTTCGTAGCTTGTGCTGGGGAATGTAACGTGTTTGGCGCTGCGGTGGAGGGCGTTTATGATCTTGCCGCAGATGAGGCGGTAGCGAACGATGTGGACGAATACAGATGTAGCAGCGCGGTATTGAGGTGTTCCGTAGGGTGCTGATGAGAGGGGACTGCTATCCTCGGGGAGTTGATCGGCTGTTGATGAAGGGGGTAGATCGACGTCTATGTCTTCGAGCTGTAGTGCCAAAGGTCTTCCAAGCGCAAGACTCGTCACACGATCCAAGGCGACAAGACTCCAGAAACATCTCCTCTTTGTCTCCATCTCCTCCTCCTTCACCTTGCGAGTCGCATCATCCAGCGTCTGAGGAAGAGCATAAGTCGCCGCTCGATGAAGCCCCATCTCAAGACATGTCCTCGCCGCAACACCGATGAGATGCCAAACACTAGTCGTAGTATTACTCGACGTCGTGCCCATTCTATACTGACACACCAACAAAAGCGCCTGCAACCTCTCAATCCCATCTCTCGCCAAAACATCAGCCAACCTCGTCATGGCGCGATTATAATGCGTCTCGGCATCATAAACACCATTCCAGTTAAACTTGTGCACTTGCGCCGTGCCGATCGCAAGCGTCATGTCGACAAAGAACGCATCAACGGGATCTTTGGCGCTGGACTCTTCGTACACAACGTCTAAAGATCGGTAGAGGGACTTTGTGGAGAGGAAAGGGTAGCAGAGGTGGTCATGGCTGCAGTATGCTTTTAGGAGTTCTGATGCGAGAGTTTTGGGAGGAAGACCGGAGTTGGCTTGTGGTGAGGTTAGACCAGGGAGGGAGTTTGGTTTCCAGCCTGATGCGTGGAGGGTTGAGGATGGTTGAGGTCGGGACTGGAGGAGATTTGCGAGGAGAAGACCGCTTGTTGAACCGACAAAGTGATGGCCTCCGCCAGCAATGAGACTCATCTGAATGACCTCCTCCGCCACCTCTCCATCCCCGGGACTATTCTGTACCACCGACGTCTCACCTCTCTCAACATCTTCAGACCTCCTCTGAATCTCCTCAGACCTTCTCTGCACCTCCTCCGATCTTCTCAACTGCTGCGTCAAACCCTCATTACAATCCATCAACTCCCTAATCCTCCTCTCCAACTTCTGAACATTTCTTCTCCGCAACTGATGTTCACTAACAGCATATTCACAAGCGACATCAGCGCGTTTGCAGGGTCCGCATTGAGGTTGGATTTTGTCGCAGCGGACTTTGCGGCGGTGACATCTGTCGCAGGCGTTTGAGGGCATGGGGAAGGGGGACGGAGACCGAGGCCGATGGTGAGAGGAGATGGAGACGGAGAGACCCCGCTTGAGAAGGAGAAGTTATGGGTCTTCGGTTAGTGAATGCGGGTTTTATTTTACCGTTAATTAGTTGATTTGATGGATGGATTGGGTGGGATTGGGGAACTAAGCTTAATTGTTACCTTAATCCTGACTCGTGGGGTTGGGACTGCAACGTTGGTGAATGCATTGTGACATGAGCCTGGATGTTTATTTCGGCTCGTATTACTCTGAACAATAAGGCAAATCAATTCGCTGTAAGTTGAAATATTACAATCTACGAGTTAGACTCTTGAAAATGCAACTGAGCCATCCTATGTCATTCTCCGGATATCGTTATCCTCTATCTATAATGATACATAGCTATCTTGACTAAACACTAATAATCCTCCTCCATCACAATCTAGCTCCCCATAATGGCGTCTTGGCAAACCACCATTCGGCCATCGGCCCCGTCGCCGAAACCAGGATATTCTCGCTCTTCGCCTCTGGTGATCCCCTCAACAATCCCACCCCCGGATATCCAGAATCTGGGGTATGCGGGGAAGTTCATGAATCAAGTTCAAATACCGCATCGTCCCCCTGCTTTTTTTTGTATCAATCATCCCAACTATCATTCTCTTTAATAGTTTCTTTGATAGGTTTTGTGAGAGTTGATCATCATGGCATCGCAAGATCAAAAGATGGGCGTTGAGACCCTTGATGCTGAGAAGCAAAACGCCGCTCATGAAGAGTACTCGGCTGAAGTTCTTGATAAGAAGGGTAATGGTGATTACTCTGGTGCTGTGGCGAAGAGTGACCCCGAGGAGATCAAACTCGTCAAGAAGCTCGATCGATGGATCATGGTAAGCCTCCCCATCCCTTGTTGAACTCTTCTCTGACTTGATAGCCCACCCTTTGGTTGATGTACTGGCTCAACTACCTCGACCGCAACGCCATCACCCTTGCCCGCCTAAACGGCTTTGAAGAAGATCTCAACCTCCAAGGCTCACAGTACAACACCTCAGTCTCAATCCTCTTCGTCGGCTACGTCCTCGGTCAAATCCCCAGTAACATGATAATCACCCGTGTCAGACCATCATATTACATGGGTGGTTTCATGATGGCATGGGCAGTCGTCAGTTCCCTCACGGCCGTAGCTCACAACTACACCGGCGCTCTCCTCACACGATTCTTCCTCGGTATCGTGGAGGCTCCTTATTACCCCGGCGCGCTGTATATGTTGTCGACGTTTTATACCAGGAAGGAATTGGCGACGAGGATTAGTATTCTCTACTCTGGTAACGTCCTCGCTTCTGCTTTTGCGGGCCTTATTGCCGCGGGTGTTTTTGAGGGTATGGATGGACTGGCTGGGATTAAGGGCTGGCGATGGTTGTTTATTCTTCAGGGTGCTGTTACGTTTGTTGTGGCTATCGTGGCGTGCTTTACTCTTCCTGATGAACCGTTGACGACTCGATGGCTCACACCTGAGCAGCGACAACTTGCGCATGATCGCGTTCTGAGAGATACAGTCGGACAGAAAGGCAACGGCAATCCATGGAGCGGTCTGCGCGAAGCCATCGTTGACCCGAAGGTCTGGGTCTTCATTGTTCTTCAGCATCTTCACCTTGCGACCAACGGCTTCAAGAACTTCTTCCCTACCATCGTCAACACGCTCGGCTTCAACACAACCGTCACTTTGGTCCTTACTTGCCCTCCTTTCTTGATCGCTGGTGCTCTCTCGATTCTTTGGGCCAAGTCTTCTGGCCACTTTAACGAGAGTACCTGGCATATCACCATCTCCAAGATCGTCGCTACCTTCGGATTCGTCTTGGCTTGCGCGACCATGAACGTAGGCGCAAGATACTTCGCCATGTGCGTCTTTACCATTGGTACCTATGGTGTCAACTCCATTCTTTTAGCTTGGGTGGGAAATACCTGTGGACAGACAAGGGAGAAGAAGGCTTCCGCTCTGGCTCTCGCCAACGTCAGTGCGACACTCAGTTTGATCTGGACTCCTGTAAGTACTATCCTACTCCATTCTTGGTACAAACCACTAACTCTTGCAGTACCTCTGGCCCAAATCTGACGCACCCCGGTATGTACTGCCGCTCTCAAGCAGTGCTGGGTTTGCTGTAGCTTGTATTGCTGGAGTCTGGCTTATGAGGTGGATGCTGGTCAGACAGAACAGGAAGATCAGACAGACCGACTCCGAGGCTACGTTGTTTTATGCTTACTAGAGGTGGGTTGGAACCTGGACTAAGATAGTCCAATATCATCCATAGGTCGTCAATGTTATGCCGAAACTTATGGTTTATTATGAATGAACTCTCCCAAACTTGCCTAAGTCATCCTAAACTTATCTTGGTTATCCTAAACCTGTCTAAGCTATCCTAAGATTCCCTAAGCTTTATGGTTCCCTGGACTAAAAATAGGATGGAATCTTGTCAAGTCGTTACTCGGCAGCACAGTTGATACGCTTATTGGCCTCGATAGACATCTCGTAAGGCTGCTCGCTAGTATGCTCGACGATCTTTGGTGAGCCAACCGAGTGTCGAATGTTCTTGATGACGTCCGTGTTGAATTCCTCCTGATCCGAGTCGGCGGAACTTCCCTGGTCAACCAAAACAACCACGACGACCTCAACAATCTCTAGGCCGTTCCCTTTGGCACGTTTGACGGCGTCGATAAGGCCTTAGAGTGCAGCCTTGTACTTTGATTCGGCGACATGTGCGAGGAATCGATCGTCCCCGTTGAATCCATTTGGGTACCGGCCAGTCACCGCGACTCTAACGCAGGTGTCCAGGCCAGTGGTGTAGATTCTCGCACCCTTTGACGTCCCGTACTTGCCCATGCGTACCTCACCGGGTTGGGGGTCTTCTTCATCGCTGGAGCCCTCGATGGACTCCGCGTAGTCCTTGTTGCCCTGCATATGTGCAGCGGCAGCCATTCGCTCCGACCAGAGTCGTTCGTCAGCCATAGTGACTAAGGTTGAGTATGTAACAAGACAGTGAATAGTATGAATCAGATGGTCTGGTTGCTGATGCTGAAGAAGAAGAAGAAGAGATGAAAGCGACAAGGGGTCAAAGAGGCCCTTTTATAAGGTGCCGTGGGGTATGATTCACAGATGAATTGTCAGTTGACAGTCAAAATGTAGGTTACGCTATGGAACACAGTCTCGTCGCTTTTAACTACAAAAGCCAAAAGTGTTCGTTCAACCAAACATTAGTAAATGTTTGCCAAGCACAGCTCGGCCTCAAGCTCCCATGGCGACGACACCTTGATAGTACCACCTCCATCATCGTCGGATATCGGATACTCACGAGACGGGTCGGCGAGAGGTAGACGCTTAAAGATCTTGAGAGGAAACAGCCAGAACCCTATGGCTGGCTGTGGTGTTTGCTTAAGGTGTTCTGCAGTTTCCTTGGCGATGGCCTCCCTTGGCTCTTCTGTATGTGGTTCCATCCATGTTATAAACCTCTCGTGGGTCTGATTCACAGACTCCATGGCGCTTGCTCGGTCAGTTATGAGGGGTGGATATGAACGGCGGCAGCTCCCAAAGCGATATTCAACCTCGTGGTTGTGCTTCACCCTTACTGATAGAAGGAGTCTGAACCAGCGATGGAAGCGTCTTACAGGGTCCATGTTTCCAAGATATAGTTGCTTAAAGTTTCCATCGTCCAATCGAGGATCGCATGATAATCGATGAAAGCCGAACGAATGGCCCCTGATGGGCACGGTACGATTCATCTGGAAAACTGGAACAGTTGAGCGCTTTGCAAACTCGCCACCCCACCCGCGTACGCAATGCGTGTTCATTACTGTGAGGTGCTCAATTCTCAACAAAGTTTCCTTCAGCCGAGACGTGTCACGCCCAGTGGTGCTCGGCGTCTTGAAGTCATGCGACGGGCCTTTGACGCGCAAGGCGAGATTGACCAGACCGACACATCGCGGATCGCAAGCCCAGAGGTCATGTGCAAAGTTCTCAAAGACTTCCAAGCAGTTGAGCATCAAGGTGTCCAATTCAGGACAAACATAGAGTGTGCCGTTCACCATGCTCTTATCTTTCCTCTTGTACCAACATGGTAGTTGAACACGGTAGAAAGCCAAAGCGGCCTTGCGTGACTCGGACGTGGTTCGGAACAGCTTGCTTATCTTCCAGCGGTGGCCCAATATGATCTCATAGTTTTGATGATTTGTTTGCTCTCTTCTTTCGTTCGTGAAACTGCCCGGTTTCAGGGTGATATCAATCCATCGCTCATGACTGAGGAAATGTTGCCAAACAAGCCAGCGAATATCATCAGGAAAGCGTGCAAACAGGTGAAAGTCACCACATGGCTCAAGAGGAGGGTTGAAGATTTGCAAGTAACGTGGTGTAGCGTTGCTCTTCATGTTGCAACCCGAAGCCATGTTGAGAAACTGTTGTTTGGAAAGGAGAAAGGTCAGGACGTGTTTGCTTCGCGGGAGGAGTAATGGTTTTGTAACTCGTATATATTAGCTTTATGACTCACGAGACATGTGTTACCTTTATGAGGGCACACAAGGTCTATATCCCTACGAGACTTTGTATCACGGTCGTCAAAGAAGCATATTCACTAAAGTATGTTGACAACAGAGTTACACTGTATCCACCGCCTCACTGAATAAACTGAATCAAGGTTACACACACGAAGACTCTCTTCGACTAAGGCGTCTCGTTACACATAATGGCCCTGCGTGGTGAGCTTCTGACCTCAGTCAGCAAGCAGAGAGAACCCGAGGAGGCCAGGCAGAAATCGTCATAGGCAAGAAAAGTCTTACCTAAGTTTTGCAGGTTCATCTAAACTTAGACCTCGGTGAGAATGTCACAATTACTTCACCGTCACCAACACCCACCACATATCAAGATATTCTCGAATTGTCAAGGAAACTGTCGCTAGGTAAGTAATTTGTCCAAGCCCGACCCGAAGAACGCTCATCCTGCAAAAAGCCCGTACGCCATCCATACCAATTGATCTCCTGAACGCCATCGTAAAGACATACCAATCTTGCTATCCCCTCTGTAAATCCGTGACTATGCCATCGTGCATGTTTGAAACACCCGCCACCTCAGGTCCATTATGCATAACCGATCGACCTGCAGTAGCTTAACCGCCTACCGTCCACAGTGGAATACTCCCCTAGCTATTGGCCAATGTGTCACGGGGCGTCACCCCCATAGCTTGCCGAAGCGACGGCGTCAACGAATCAGTCGAGTCCCTCTGCCGTCCCCAATTCTCATTCGTAGTCGCAGGCGAAGCCGTATTCATTTCCTTCCTGTCCTGTGATCGTTCATACGTCGGCGGTGGTGCTCGGGGCATATTTGCGGGTTTTTGCTTAATCGGTGCAACACCGTAGTCGTCGAGTTCTTGGAAATCTTTCGGGTCTTCGAGTTTATCTAGGCGTTTGCGACGACGATGGAGAACGCATAGCAGAGCGACGACGCCAAGGGCTACGACGGTGCTGCGGGATGAGGTCAGCCAAGACAATTACCGATATGCGAGATAAATAAGGTACCTAGCGATGAAGAGAATTAGTAGGATCTCGCCTGTGCTCATACCGGGCTTTTCACAGGTATTCGAGAATTGATCATTGCGACATGTTTCCTTGGCTTCTCTCGGGAGCACTCGCGTGAGACCCATGCCCTCGGCGCGAGAAGCAAGGGCGCCTAATTCCTTTTCGAGAATCATGATACCGAGTAAAGTGAGCGTCAATAGAATAATGAGAAAATTAGTAGTAGTGTAATTAACGATTCAGTGTTATTCTGCAAAGAGAAAGAAGAAAAAAACAATCAAGAGCCAAGTCTGCAAACAACAGGAGCAAACCTAGGAAAAAGGGAAGGGGTTACTACATCAAGGGCAAGAGGAATTCATTAAAAAGCCAATGCGAGCCAACTGACGATGCGCCTCAGTTCAATGACATGCTTCCGAGAGCTCCATGTTTCAGAGGCTCAGCCCCCTTGGCTCGTGATGCTGGGGTCCCTGTAAATCAGGGGTGCATCTCGTGACAGTGAAATTGACCCTCTGCAATCGGGGCTACAGAGGATTTGATACGAGATCTAGACTGGTCTTGTCACATCATGTTACGTGTACCTGATCGACATCTATCGATAGTTCATGGATACTACCTACTAAGTAAATGCTATACATATTTATGCATTCCCTCGAGTTGACATTTTAATGCTTCACCTTTCCTATCAATGCGCCGTGAAACTCACCGCACAAACAGCCCAGGCCATAGGAACAACTCAAGCTGAAACTGCCCATTCCAACATCTCAAACAAACGCAATATCAATTGCTTCTTCTTCGACGTCTGCTAATAATCAACACAACCCCCTTATTGTGGGGGAGGCCATCATTAATTAAACCAAGTGGGCTGCAGAATCCCTGTCGGCAAAGCTTCCGTTACCGTTCGTTCCCCCAGATTCAGGGACGCAAAATAACGTGACCGGGATAACGGCGATCACGCAACGGTTGAAGCAGAATGAACCAGGAAGGAGATCGATGTTAGATATTGTGAGCGATTAGCGGGTTATGAAGGGCTATCAACATTGCCAAGCTTTTTTGGCGCAAGAGAGAATGGGCGATTTGGACACATGGTTGGCATGGATGAGGCTGGGGAGGAAATTACATGGCGTTGAAGATCAACTGCGGCGGTCCTAAATCCGGGGATATGAATGCTCCGTGGATGCAGGGTCTTTGCATTCTTGAGGTTCCGAGAGTCCGACAGTCCGTTCCCAAGAATAGCATCACTGGATTTTGAATGAGAATGGATGCTTCTCATAGGCTACTGCGGACTCTGAGTACAGTCGAATTTACTTGTGAGCCGGCCAGCCGAGTATACGGCCCGAGAAGGTGATCTCAATTGCTGACACGAGAACTAATGGTAGAGTTTGAGAACACAGTAGCCATGAATAGGTATGTAAGTCAACAAGACGTTTGTTCTTTATGATAAACAAGTATCTTCCATCTCAATTCGCTCAAGGATATATCTGATCATCTTATTGTTGAAGTTCAAAGCATAGTCTCACAAGACGCAACAATGCACAAAACAGCCTAAACTCATAAACACCAAAACCGATCGTAGCCTCATACAGATCTCAAGTCAGACTCGACATGACTTGAACCCTGTAGTACTAACATCCTGCAGCTGGAACAACTTTCCACCGATCCTCTCACAATGACATAATTCCACTCGCCAAGCTCTCGTCAGACCATGAAGCAATCTCCGCATTACCAACCTGAGGAAATACCTCATTAATCCTTATTATGTCCTACTCTCTAACTCAACAGCTCCTCGTTTCAGACGAGCAAGCTTACAAGCGAGCTACCCAGTCTGAGTTTCTCAAGCTCGCAGGCCACGGAAAAGCATCGAAGGAACTCCTCGGCCGCTGGCTTGCAAACGATCGTCTCTACATCCACAGCTACTGCCGTGGTCTTGGTCGACTTCTCAGCTTTCTCGAATACCCTGACACCGTACAAGCCGGAGTCGATCCCGGTGCTACAACAAAGCTTCTAGACTGGATCGTCGCAGCTCTCGTCAACATCCGACGAGAAGAAAAGTTCTTCATCAACACCGCAGCAGAATACGGCATAAACGTCAACCTCGAGACTCAAGAAGACGGCCGTGTTGATTCAAGCACCAAACTAGAAGGTCTTCGACGCTGGGAAGCTCTATACGCTTCTGTATCCCCCAACGAGAAAGAAGAACTTCCTTGGCTTGAAGCAGCTGTGATTTACTGGGGAACTGAGAAGTGTTACCTTGATGCTTGGTCGTGGGCTAAGGCACAACTCTCTGATGATGATGGGAGCAATGATGCTGATGGTGGGGCTGTGAGGAAGGAGTTTATTAATAATTGGACGTGTAAGGAGTTTGTTGAGTTTGTGGATGAGCTTGGAAGGATTATTGATGATGCTGTTGAGAAGCTGGTTGCGGAGAAGGGTGAGGATGTTAAGCAGAAGCTCTTCAAGAGGGTTGAAGGGAAGTGGCATGATGTTCTGGAGGCGGAAGAGGCCTTCTGGCCAGCCGTCTAGGACGAGTGTAACTCGAAAAGCAGAATATTCTTTATGTAGACACCAAAATGTGCAGGCCTCTCGCTTTTCTTCAACGACTCGTACGGTAATGAGCTTCCAAGGGTATCCGTATCAAATTGAAAGGTCTAGAAAGAAAGATTTTTCCACCCCAAACGCCGTACAATGCCAAACCAGTTCACAAGCCTAAAACTGTATCCGTCGCTTTCGTCCAGTGTACTTCGACGTCGCTTTAACAATCTTTCCCTTCCTCTCCATCTGCTCCTTCTTCTTAACGATCCACGCCTTACTACCCTTCGACATATTCGGAGCCTGTGCTTTCATCTGCCTTCTCGCATCCTCAACATCCACACCCTCCATGCCCTCAACAACACCAGTGATGTCACCGCCCTTCTTCTGAACATCACCGCCTCCAACAGTCAAGACGAGGTAGAGCTTCTGGTTCTTGGTGCCGGGGTCGTCTTCGAGCATACCGGCGCCGAAACCGGCTTTTACGGCGGCTTGGGTGATCATGTGGCGCTGCTCGTCGTTCTTGGGGTAGAATTGGCAGACCGCTCGACCACCGCGCTTGAGGGATGCGTAGAGACCGTTGAAGAAGCGGGTTAGACGGCCGAAGGGTGATGTATCGCTTGTTTCGGCGCTGCAGAGCCATTGGATAGCAGAGATGCTGATAGCTGCGTCGAAAGTACCAGCTCTGAAAGGAACGCCTTGGCCGATATCTGCTAGCATAAGATCACCCTCTACATCTCTCTGTAGTGCAATGTCCAGCATTGACGGTGAGACGTCCATTCCGATCCATGTGTGAGGGCCGCCTTCTTCGGGTTCGACTGAAGAAAGAATCTCGCCGGAGAGACCACTACCGCAACCGACGTCGAGAATGAGGGATGGTGACTTGAGATCGAGGAGTTCGAGGGCTCTTCGTGTCATGGACGCTTGAATGTTTTGGATTCGAGAGCTTGTGGTGTACTTGCGCGCTTCGGTATCGTCATAGTGGACGTCGGCGGCACTGTTTCTGTGAGCTTGAGGGGCATGATGGCGGGGTTGTGGTGACATACAGGGTATCCTCAGGGCGAGACATGGTGAAGACTGTCAGTCAAATGATTCCTGGGAGCGATATGAATCTCCAGTTTCGGAAAAGTAATTGTAATAAATGAATGGGTCGCGAAGCCTGGAGCTGCACCTTATCGCCGATTTCCTGGTGTTGAGCAAAACCGACTTTTTCGTGGCTATCGATAAGCTCTTAACTTCTTGGCGGGGACCCCCACCACCGGCTCGGAATTTCCCTGCGCCGAGATATGGTGAAACTGATTGGTAGTTAAAACCGTGTCCTGACGTCTCCTTTTTCAACCTACAGATAATACCATCTCCCCTCCTTCCAACATGTGAGCTCCAACTCTTATCATTGCTTGCGCTCCAAAACAACGCAACGCAAAATGTGGATTCTACCTCTTGTTGGCTACATAGGAACCCTCCTGGGTTTCTGTTTTTTGACCCTTGCTATCGCCTCGGGTCTATACTACCTGTCGGAACTCGTCGAGGAGCATAGCGTTATCGCGAAGCGGTTCTTGACGCGCCTTATTTACAGCGTTATTGGCATTCAGACGGTTCTATGGCTGGTTGATGGTCTGCCCTTCTGGGCTACTGTCTTGACGATCGTGTCGCATGTTGTGTACCTGGGGAATATGAGACGCTTTCCTTTTGTGAAGCTGTCTGATCCGTTGTTCCTGGCATCTTGTGGTATGTTGCCTTTGCGGCTGGGCAATTGAGTTTTTGCTAACGAGATGTAGTTCTCGTTTTGGTCAATCACTACGTTTGGTTCCGTCATTTCTCCGATACACAGTCGCGCGCGTACCAACGTACCTCGTACTACGACAAGGTCGATGTTCCTAGCTTCGCGCAAATCGCGTCGTACTTCGGTCTTTGCGTCTGGCTTGTGCCGTTCGCGTTGTTTGTTAGTCTGTCTGCTGGCGACAATGTTCTCCCCACGATGGGCACTGAGCCTGTCCATGGGCTTGATGGAAGAGGCAAGCCTCAGGGCATGATCAAGGCTCTTGTTGATCAGATTCGCGGGACGATCGGTCAAATCTTTGGGACGAATTCTTCACCTGGACTTGCCCGGCCGTAAAGGTCGCGTAGGCTGGATTGATATGATCATTACGTGCGGATGTTGCTGCAGGATGGACAAACCGAAATGTTTGTTTCATTCATGAGTATGTTGATACTGAGTAAGTCACTATTTTATTACATCTACAACGCCACCCCTCCCAAATGATGACCTACAAACTTCACGCTAGATTGTATTTGACAAGAATTCTTGTATGATTCTATTTTAGTTTCCTGATACCCATCGACACACCTTGTTTTGTCTACATGTTCCTGTCTTGTCAGAGTACTGACCAAATTATACAGGGTTATTATCATCCCTCCCCATAGAGAGGTTGATGTACATATATATATCCCGAGCTTCGCTATCATAAACTGGCAATGTCTCCTTCATTGAGCACACCAATACAGAGACCTTGACGTCTACTGTATGCAACCGTCCATCTTGTGTATCTCTTGTGCTGTCGTTCGAGTTCTGGAGACTGGGTCAAGTCGTGACTCTATGTCGACTACTGTGCGCTGAGGGCTTGAAGCGGGACGACGATGGGCGAAGTCATGTGGCATGTGAGAATGATTCGACGGTTTACTATGAAGATGTATCATGTCAATCATGTTTGGACAGAGAGGGAGGCATCAATGGTACCTCCATATTAGAACGTATGTTCAAGCCAGAAGCCTACTTGGCACTGCCCTGAGTGACAGGGTTGTGTGAAGCGTTGGTGTTCGGGTTGGACTCAGAGCTGTCAGTGCTAGACGTTACAATCGAATCAATGATGTGCCACGGCATATCCTTATGATCCTCTCGCAACCAAGCGTTCATCTGCTCTGAGTATCTGGTGTCCTGATGTACAATGTTGGGTAAAGGGTTTCCTCGACGAGGGACTTGAACGCAGTGAGGGTTCGACATGATGAAGAAGGGCTAATCGGTTCTCTTGTGCGTGTAGTTGAAAATGAAAATGAAGATGGACTATTCAACGTACCTAGAGACGCGGGAGAAACATAAGACTTTATACAAGATTGATGGTCACCAGTTGCCTCAACGAGTGCGCCTCAAGCTGCCTCGTGCAAATTCAACAGCCGCCTGAGATTGTAACTGAACTACGAGGAGCAGTCAAACCTGGGCAGGATATACCTACTCAACCCGAAGTCCAACGTCAGTACCACACCACAGTACATCCAGCAGATAAGTCGGAGGTGCAATTGAGACGGAGATGGAGGTGTTTCTCCAATCGGAATCGTCCGTTCCAATGCTAGGACAGCCCAGGCACCGACAACCATTGGCTACATTCTGCCACCAGGAAGTCGTTATTTCCTATTTTGTGTAGATCAATACCACCTAACCACCGGACCTGCAGAAAGGAGAAGAGTCCGGACCAATAAGATGGAAAACATCTGAGGGCTTGAGGGGCTCACTCAGCCTCCAACAGACACGCCCCTCGTCCCCTTCATCCTTCACATTCACCCCTAGGCCACAGAGCGCGACTACGAAGGCAACTTCTCGAATATCCTCACATGAGCTTGCTAATAACATCGCAAGCCAATCGAGGCCTATACCTGGACTCTGGCGTCAGATGTTAAATATATTTAACTAGGAAAGAACGCAATGTCACCTGTATCAAGGACTATGAATACATTCAAGAGATGCGCAGCATCAACGCCGTAGAGCAATTGCTCGTGATGCTGTTTTCTCATATTGGCTCAGTTGAATTTGTTTAAGCATGACCACACCATCACATCCTCCATCGTCCAAGCTTACATATTCATCATCCCAGCGCATGGAGGAAAACTATAACGGGCAGTTACTGGCGCGCAGCGCTAGTGTGTGCAAACAAGTGCCAAACCCTTGCCCTAGCCTCACTGCAAGACTTTAGGGTGTAACGTTAGGATCAGATTCCCCGAACATGTTGGCTTAATGTGATAGGTAGGTTATGACTGTCACTTACTACTACCGGTACGCCGTCAAGGTCAGATCCCTCACCTGTTTGCTCAGTGCCAAGGCCACTTAGACATTTGTCTTATCTGTGCTCCCCCAATGTGGTCGAAGCAGAAGTCCTTGGCTGCCGGCACTCAAAACCTCCAATAATCATCCCTGAGTAAGACGACCTGATCATTCATTATCTTACTTAGAACTTCATCCCCTCGATGAGCAAACAACAACCTTTCCGTACCAACTTGGGCATTTGCAATGGAGACAGCATGGAATCTAACTACCTAAACTTCTTATTACTGGCCTTCATATTGAGACAGAACGATTAGCAGCTAATTAAACAAAGGCAATGGCACTTGGTAAGCGCATAAAAGATCCCTTATGCAAGATCGCGCGGGGACGTTGCCGTTGCCGCTATAACTAGCAGTTAAACTTTACGCCGGATAATGTCATTTCAAATCAAACCTCTGACCAAATGTGGTCGCTTACAGCGGGGCATGCCTCATGACAACTTCCAATTTGGTTCTTTCAGTACGACGTCGAGAGTGGATCACGCGGTGTTTGTTTATCCAAGCAAAGTGAAAAGTCAAAGCAATGCCAGGGCGATGAGCCTAGATACATGCTGTATGTCATCCCGGTTTGACTCAGCCGCAGTGACCAGATCCAAAGCCTTTCATCCCCCACGGTCGCCATGTGCCTGGCTTTGGCTGTGGCCCATGTTCTAGACTCGACTCGTCAAGAATTACATCTCTTTTCTTCGGCACTGTGCTGATTACCGTACCCTTGTGCCCTCAGCCGGCTTACACGGAGGCGTGGGAACGGAGGGAGTGGAGACGGCAGGGCAAGAAGGGTTGACCCCAAAACACCTTGAATACGACATTGAGTCTTGTTTGAGCTTCAGTTCTCAGCGAAAACTACACCGAGATGAAATCGGAGTAGTGTAATCTATTCCGTGGCGGTCACTTACCCCCAT